TCAGGTCCTCCTGACTTCAGGGACAATGCTCTATCCACTGTGCCACCCAGCTGCCCCAACAGATCTCTAGAAGTATCTCTGAAAACAGCTGCACAAAACCCCTGAAGCTGGGGACAATGTGCCCTCCACTCTGGAAGCAGAGTCTTTCTTTAACAAAAAGTTAAAAGTCAAGTAATAGGAAAATGAGCAAACAATAGAAAAAAACCCCCATAAACCTCTGACTATAGAAAGTTACTATGGTGACAAGGAAGATCAAAACAAAAGAGGTCCAAAAAGCCAATGAGGAGAAGAATGCCTTAAAAAGCAGACTTGGCCAAATGGAAAAAGAGGTCCAAAAGTTCACTGAAGAAAATAGTTCCTTAAAAATTAGAATTAAGCAATCTCTAAAAATTAGAATGGAAGCTAATGACTTTACAAAAAATCAAGAAACGATAAAGCAAAACCAAAAGAATGAAAAAATAGAAGACAATGTGAAATATCTTATTGGAAAAACAATTGACCTGGAAAATAGATCCAGGAGAGATAATTTAAAAAACTATTGGACTACCTGAAAGCCATGATCAAAAAAAGAGCCTAGAAAACTACTGCAATAGCTCAGGGGAGATTGATGATGATCTAAACTGGGGTGGTGGCTATGTTAACATAAAGGGGCTAATGTGAGATATACAGTGAAGACAGGACTCAATAAGATCTGGCACCTGACTGGATATTGGTGGGGGGGGTGAGGTAAGATGAAGATTTGAAGATGACTGAAGTTTTGAACCTAGGTGGTGTGAAGGATTATGGTACCCTCAAAAGAATTTTATAAATCTATATATAAATCAAATTGAGGCTCTGCATGACTACATGCAATTGCCACAAAATTCTCAACAATAAAAGATTAAATTATGTTCCTCTACATTATTTATAAAGGGAAGTTAAAAAAAACTGAGTCTACAACATGTATAACACTGTGCTATACATATAAAATAAGTAGAAGACTAGTGGCTGGCCTCAAGGAGCTTACAATCTAGTTGAAGAGACAAAAGTTGATATAAAACAATTAGGGAGCAAATTAGGATTGGTATCGCAAATTAATAAATACTATATTATACTACACTAAATACTATACTAAAGAGAAGTCAGCATGGGCTGCAGTGTCAGAGTGTCAGAGAAGTCTGCCATAGTTGTGAAAGATTTTAAAATAGGGTTGAAACAAAAAGGAGTTTCTGATTAACCAAAAAACTTGCTACTTAATTCCTTGAGGAACTGTCCTTTGGATATGTTAGGTTCCATTTTAGTTTAAGTTTGCTATAGCCTAAAACTCAGATATATAATTTTGGAATACAAATTATGGTTCTTAGTCATACAACTTTTGAGACAACATATATATACAAATACAAAGTTATTAGGATGATTAAGAAGAGAAATTGGTCACCACACAACAGTCAGGAACTATTTTCAGCCCAATTTCTTTCTAATACCAATACTTATAAGGGCCAAGCATTAAATGCTAAAGAATAAAAGTTAATTATGACACTGGCATCCAGTAATTATTACTCTAGAAGAGAGTAATAATTCTTAGGCAAAGGGTAAACCACTTAAGAAACAGAAGTTTGCTTATAAGATGTAAAAGAAAAGTATTCTAAATTCTCTAGTGTAAGTCTCTAGTGTGTTTATTAGAAACGGTATAGTACTTGGAGTAAGAAAGTACATATCTGAGTCCTGGCTCTATCACTTGTTAGCTGTGGGTCCCTGAGTGAGTCACTTAATGTCTAATCTTCACTTTCTTCATTTGAAAATATGGATAATATTAACTCCACATAATTGTGGTGATGATCAGATGAAATCATGTACATGGAGACACTGTAAACTGTAAACTGCTCAGAATTTTGTAAATGCTGAAGTATGTACTACTTGGATTTTAGGTAATGTTTCAGTTGTAGGTCTAGGGTTCTATGAGTCTATTATTTTTTTTTAAATTTTATTGATGTCTTTTGTCTTTATAATGATTTCTGAAGTAGAAATATTCCCCCTTCCAGATTGAACCCTCCTTTGTAACAAAAAAAAAACAAAAAACAAAAACTGACACAGTAACTCTATGCAACAATGTACATGCAAGCAGATAAAATAGTCTGTACTAGGAGCTCCTTGCCTCTCTACCGTGCTTCATTGTTTTTAAAAGTCTTCTTTTATGCTAATTAACATCAAACTAAGAATTGAAAAATTCAGGGAGTTTGTCTTTTTTCCATAAAAGGGAAAGGGAAAGTAAAGGTTGAATTTGCTGTGTAACTAAATGTTTAAGCTTCTAATGCCAACCTGGAATAAATGGGTTATATGTAATTTTTGTTTCAAAAAGTTAATATTTTTTAACTAAAGTAGTTAAACATTAAAAATACATATTCTTACTTAGTTAAAAGAAATGCAAATTATTGCAAAAATACTGAATATTGTTTTGAGTATGATTGCTGTCTTCTTAATACAATACTGAAACCATATATACCTACAACGTTTTGATACTTCTAATATCATGATTAATACTTGTTACACTGAAAATTTGCCTCCAAATGATTTTAAAATTGTTTCAACTAGTTTTACTAAGCAAGTTAAATAAATAATAATGGCTGCAAAACTAAACTATAAAAAAAAAACTTTAAAATGCAAAGTATAAACCTTCAAAAAATGAAAATTGTTATAATCAATTTGTAAGTACAGTAATATTTATACAAAAGTGACAATTCTTTCAAAAAAGTTAAACTTTTTTTTGAAGTGAGTCTTCTGAATTAATTACTTAAATTAACTTGATTTAACTCAAATTACAACTATACATAATCTTTTTTTTTTCAATAAGGGCCCTCTACTTTCAACATTTTATTATGTTAGTGCAGTTGGCCATACAAACTCATAAAATCTCACTAATTTAAAATTATTCCATCATTTGGATTTGCATCTCATTCTCTACTAGTGAAGTTTTATTATATTTGCTTTAAAATCTTCAATGACACCTAGAAGATCTAGAGAAGCATTAATGATAGAATGACCTACAAATTTGGAAAAAAAAAAAAAAAAGGTTTTTGAACCAAGCTCTACCACTAATCCACTTTACATCATGGGACATTCATGGTATCAGTGTCTCACTTTCCTAATTGGTAAACTGTGAATAATAATACTTGACCAATAATGTAAGTTGAGACTAATGTTTACTATTATTCTCTAATAGGTAGAATCCTACTGCTAGTTCTACTGCCAAAGAAATTTTTCCTTTCTTTTTAAGTGACTGGTCTTTTTATACTATTCCAATGACTACAAACAGTTCTTCTACTGCTAGCTCCACTGTTTTATATTATTATGTATTAAAATATTTTAAACAGTAATATTTGCATTCCTTAGAACTTGGCATATGCAGGTTGTGGTAGAGGTCATACTCTGTCTGTCGCTAATATAAATGCTCTTTAATATAACTGATTCCCATAGTACAGTTCCTTAAACAATTTTTGCCTTTTAAAGAACTCCTCAAAGTTCAAAAATTTAGCTGAGGAAAAATATTATGAGGAAACTTCAACAATACAGGTGACTGGATACTTGGAAGGATTTATTTATTAAAATAGAAAATTAGCTGTACAAGAGGTTTAGATTTATCATGTCGGGTAACATGCAAAACTATTTAATTTTATGGGAAAGTATTATGTAAACTAATGTATAGAATACTCTTGATGTTTCAAGATCTGCCATTATTAGATTCAAACATTTGTTGTGTCTACCTATAGTCTATCACTGATCCCTATGGGATACAAAGCCACTTGTAAATATAAGGAAATGTGGTGGGGTAGGTGCTATACGGCTACAAAGTAATAGCAATGCAATGCTATTGAATTACTTCAATATGCTTCAAAGTAATAAATAATTCAATGTATTTTTACTACCTGCTGAACTAAATGGGCTGCTGGGGGACTGGGAAGGAATTGGTTAATTTTTGAGCTTAAGTATTAGTTTTGAGATTTTTTAGAGTATAAATATTAGTTTGGCCTTTGTGTGGAGAATGGGAATTTCCATTCAACAAACATTTATCAAGCACCTACTAAGTATGAGGAATTGTACTAGGTGCCATGTATGCAAAAAAACCCCCAAACAAACCAAAATGGTCCCTGTCCTCAAAGAACTTACATTTACTTACAACTTGCATATACAAAAGTCAATAGATTCAAGGTAATATGAAGAGGGAGAGCAGTAACAACAGGAGGGGATGGGGGAAGGGTGTCGAAGCTTTGCTGCATCCTGGTACTTAAACCAGGTAGGATAGCATTGTAATTGAATCAAAGTGATCAAAGGCATTCCAATTCAGTATGAAAATGTCTTGGTCAATTTAGATGTCTTTCAGGAGTCACTAGATAAATTGGAAGTAACTGCATAGGAAGAATATCCAAATTGATTGGGGGAAATCTGGACTCATCCCAGAGGTCATCTATAAAATATCAAGCCAGACTTTTCAAACTTTGGAGGTCCAAAGGACTTCTCATATTCCCACTGGCATTCCAGCAGCATTCCTGAGGGTAGTAGCTACATCAGTGGCAACGGACAGACTAGATTTGGGTTCACAGTCCTACAAAGATCAAAGAAGAACATACCCCATACCTAAGGAGATCATATTGAAGATTCCCATCAAAGGGACTTCCAAAAACTGTGACTACTCATTTGCCTCATATAATTTTTAAGCTTCAGCCTACTTTCCCCTGGACTCTGTTATGTACTTGTGGGAAAGAAAAGATTTTTTTGGGGGGGAGGGAGGGGAATGTTTTATATCAACTATTTTTTTTAAACTTTCTTTCTTTTTTCAACATTCACTTTTATAATATTTTGAGTTTCAATTTTTTTCTCCCTCCCTTTCCTCCCCCCTCCCCAAGTTGGCAAATAATCTGTATATCAACTATTCTTACTGTACAACCTTAATAAATACTCCTTCCTAAAAGCTATTTAAGTTTGGATAACTAATGGATATCAACTATGATCATAGTGGAAAGCACAATGGTTAGGGCTAGTGATATATATCTATATCTATATATATCTATTAACAGACAAACAACTCTTTAACCCCTCAGGGCTACATCTAGACCTCTGAAGGAAGGTGTGGCCATGCTCTGGACACCTGATTTGTCAGTGCAAGTAGGAGTCTGAATTGCCTTAGAGCTTATGTTACATAAGGATCCTGAGAGGGAGATGAGGCTAGAGTGCTTTATAATTATGGAGGGGTACACTGTATAAATGTATGGGTACAAAAAAACGAGTTTCGGGAAAAGTTTGGCATTGGAGGAAGGAGAGTAGGATGCATGTAGTGGATACTGGTAAGGCAAGGGTGGAGGACAGGGAAAGCTGGAAAAAGAACTGTCTACTCTTCATTTCTGCCTGGGACCCCACCACTGAAAACCATCTACTTTCTGCATCTGGCAGCTGTGTTGTCACAGGTTGTCAGTGCTTACACTGGCAAGTCAGGAGGGTTTTGGAAAGCTGAAAACGTCAAACTACTTCAGTCGAGCCCACTATTCTCAGGCTTGCCTTTTCAGTTCTGGCTTTACCTTCTAAATTCTGGGAAAGACTGGGGAAGAGAGAAAGAGAAAGAAATAGAGGGGTGTCAGCTACCACCAAGAAAAAAAAAAGGTCAGATTTATACTTTCAGTAGAGCCTTTACCCACTATCTTTCTCTAACTTTTTTCATTATCCAGGAAACTTTAAAAAAAAAAAGCAAAACAAAACAATTTAAACACAGCAATTTCTTCATACTTCTTATATGTGCATTATAGGTTTTCCTTCTGGAATCCACTCTGGATCACTTAAGGGACCTCTTGTATAGTTTGCCAGTTACACACTAATGCTCTATGTATTACCTAATGAGTTTCTCAAAAGCTTCTTTTTCTTTCCGTAAAGCAGTAAGATAACGTTGCTCTTCAGTTGAACCTCCATATATAAGAAAATAAACCCTGCAAGTCAAGAGAGATTTTTTTTAGGCCACAAAAACACAGTCCTTAATCCCTACGGGGTATAGTATAACTCTTGAATTTAGCAACTCAAAGGACTCAAATGATAAATATTTGACTAAGCATAAAAGGTTCCATTAATCACACTCCAACTAAAATTAAGTCATTAAACTCTACCTATTAAAGGTTTTATTACCTAACTTTTTTCTTTTGTCAAAAGAAGGAATCAAGTTTGGGTAAACAGTGAAATACAACTACGGAAGATAAGTGATCATTTCCTCAGAAAGATAAAGGAGACCAAAACCATCCCTCACCAACCCACAGAGATTATATTCTCTTTTCATTTTTGCTTTGCATTCCTGCCAAAAAACTGTTTTAAATGTTAGATTGTTTAGCTATAGAAACCAATCTATAAAAGATCATATGTTAGTGGAAAATAAACAATAAGTGAAATCTATACGATTTTTATCTCTCCAAGTGATGTCTCAGGTCTTTTGCATTGGTAAATGTCTTAACAGAATAGAGACATGACACATTTTATATAAACATACTGACGTATAACACACATGGACTTTATCAATCTTCTCAAAATTAATTATACATATATGTTCTTTTCAGGGTGGTAGTGGAGGAGAAAAGTTTGCTATTTATATTGTTTCTTTTTTTTTCCTTTATTTTGAAATGTTTCATTGATGTTCTTTTCTTCTTCACATCACAGTCATTTCCTAACGCCTTTCCCCTCCTCCATCCCAAATCCCATGTAACAAATGGTTACAGACAATCTGTCTCTTTTCTATTTTGTTTATAGGGGAGACTGCTGGGAGGAGGAATCCACTATATCACTTTTGCCCCCCTTTTCTCTACCCTCTTAATGTTTTCCTCTCTTATTCCTACCTTTAAAAAAAATCTCTCCAACTTTTCTACTCTTTCCTTGTAAACCCTTTTCTTCAGAATGTTACTAACTGCTCTATTCCCAGGCAAAAGAAATCTTCTTCAGAGTGTATGTGCTATCACTAAGAACAATGAGAACTAAGAATGAAACATTTAATCATTCCCTGATTACTTTTGTTCATCTCATTCTCCACCCAAACTTCTAATCCTGTATTACTTTTGATTCATTTCTACTGGTCTGATATGCCAGCATGTGTTTATCTGCAAGGCTGCTAGAAAGTTTTCTCTTGGTTCTGTCTATTGGTTCAGACTGAGTTCAAGATAGTTATTTTGCTGTTTATTTTTCTCAAAAGTGGACATCCAAAATACTATACTTATAGGCTCATAGAATCTGAGAAGTTGAAAGATACCTCAGAGGCCATCTAGTACAAGTCCTTACCAAATATATAAGCTCTTCTATAATGCCTTCCACAAGTGACCATCCAGCCTCTGTTTGAACATTCCTCCAGTTATGGGGAAATCACATCATGAAGCAACTTACTCTATTTTTGACAGCTCAGTTTATTAGAAAGTTCTTTATATTGAGGCAAAATCTGTCTCCCTATAGCTTCCACTCACTGGTCCAAATTCTGCTATCTGGAATCATAGAATAAGTACAATCTACCACATGATAGTTCTTTAAGTACTAGAAGATAAATGTGATGCCTTCCCTCTTCCTTGGTTTAAGTCTTTTTAGAAAATAGGTACATTTAAAAACACTGAAATTATAAAGCTGAGACTGAATGTAAGCTATACAATTTTTCTAACAGAAGCAGACTTACTGATATGATTCTATGCCTTAAACTTCAACATAAATACAACATGATAGTAGGGTAACAGAAAAAATTAGAATTTGTTAGGATGAGGTCTAGAGAGGACACTGGATTTAGAGTCAGAAAACATGGCTTTTAATTTCAGATTCTGCTGTTTAGTAGGTATGATCTTGGACAAGCCACTTCCCATCACTGTGTCTCTGTTTCCTCATCTTTAAGATGAGAGAACTGGACTAGAGCAGGGCTTCTTAATTTTTTTCCACTTCCAACCCCTTTCTGTGTTTCAGCAACATGGCCTGAGGGCATGTGCAGTGCAAAGTGTGCATGCTTTGTGTTCAGAATGAAGGCCCAGTGAAGCTGCATGATACAACACGGGCAAATGATACCAGAAACACCTTGGATTCAATGCACATTTGATTTTCAATTAATTTTTGGTTGTTGTGTGTTCAGAAACCTTTTATTGTTGCCAAAGTTTTCTCGACCCCATATGGGGTTGTAACCCAAAGCACTGGACTAGAGGATCTCACAAAGGTTCCTTCTAGCTCTTCCAATTTGTGAGTACTTGGCCCAGTGTAGCATTTTTAGATGCTTTCTTATAAAAACTTCCTAAATTCACGATTATACAGTTTAGCAAACACATTTTCAAATGACTTTTAAGTATGGTAATACCTATAACTCAGAATAATAATAATTTAAAGAAGGAAAAAAGAACTAGTAATGACTTTGGGTTGATGCGAAAGAAAAGTAAAACTAATATTAAAAAAAAAACCCTGTAATTACACTCACAATAATTTAACACACTTGCCTCATAGGCTTCCCAGGCCTACTTGCCCTATAAATTTCAAGTTGACGAACAAATGTTAGTTCTGCATCATATAAGACAACATATCTTGGCTCCACTTCATGTAGTACCCTAGTCAGAGCATAGGGGTCACCACAACCCAGAAGTGGATGGATGACAGTGAGGGGTTCTTTCAGGATGCCATATGCAGCATCAGATGATAAATTAATATCAAACACTTCAGGTTCAGTTTCCTTGAGGCAGCTTTCTTGGTTGCTGCTTGTTTCTTTATGATCTATTTCTTCAGCTTCATCCTCAATCTTTGTTACCATTTGAGTTAAAGTCAATTCTTGCTTCTTCTTTGGAGGTCTTTGTTTCATGGAAGTCCTGACCTTGGCTTTTGAGACTTTGGATTCTTTGCCAGATTTCAGGTTTCCCTTAGAATTGTCTTCTTTTTTGAATTTCATCTTTACTTCTCCAGCTTTGTTATCCTTTCCAAAGGTTTTTGTATATAGTTTCAATAAGAAAGCCTTTGCTCCAATAGTGAGATATCCTCTAAGCTGTGCACATGTTCGATCGTCACTTGCACAAATAAGCACTTGCCCTGAAGCCAAGAAAATTTTAAAAAAAATTTTCATCTCACTTGCAAAAAACAAGAAAGCCTACATCATGCCTTAGAGTAAAGATACACAATTTATAAATTATTTAATTGGTTTCAAAAGTTTGTCACATCCTTTCATCTTAAATCTTGGCTAAAAGTCTAAGTTGGATTTTTTAGTGTTTTATGAAACAATACTAATATTGTGTTTTATGAAACAATACTAATATTACAAATAAGATATAAAATATTTTTCTTTATTACTAAGTTTTTTAAAAAGAAAATCTCTTGCTTAATACAATATCAGATAAGACTTTTAATCACTTGTCTACTTTAGTGAATCATAAAAGAAAAGCATACATTAAGTCACATTTAAAAGCTTAATTGCCTCATTTATTTTTATCTGCTATAAAACTATGTTGGATAAAATGACAGTTACAATTTATGCTTTTGTGTTAATTATCTATAAACTAAAAGTTACTTCTAAACTTTTATTTTTACATGGAAATGACACACATATTTTTATTTCCTGGAGAAATAATGAATGAATAAAAATATATATATAAAGTGCTTACTATGTACCAAGCACTGTGCTCTGGGGATACAAAGAAAAATTCAAAACAGTCACTGCTCTCAAGGAGTTCACATTCTAACTGTGTGAGGAAATGCATAAAAGACAGTTTGCCTTCAGAAAAGATGGAAAGGTCCAGTGGTTCTTGGGGTTTGGTGGTAGCACAGATGGCAAGGCCCAGGAGTCTGGATGATACAGTGGCTGGGCAGATGGAAAAGCCCAGTGGGACACAATCATTAAATGACATGGCTACAGTCACAGATTTAGTCACAGATTTAGTGGCTAAACTAAGGAACAAGTGGGTGTTTGATTCCCAGTCTGGTGCTTTATTCACTTGAATAAACTGATAATCTACAAGAATTGCCTGACATAATCCAAACACATTTAAGAAAACAAACAAATATTAGGACAGAAACTGCTCACAGATACGACTTGCTGCTAGTTAAGCTAAGACAAACCTGATAAAATTAATCTTTTACTATGTCTCTTCTGTATAATAAGCAAGGATATGAATTTGGGAAATAGGCTCTGGGAAGGAAACCAAAAGACCTTCTAGGGAAGATTGTCTTTCTTTAGTACGTTGGATTTTAAATCATAACACAATATCTGAAGCAATATTATCTCATTGTTCAGAGATCTTAGGAATTTAAGACTATTTTGATCTATAGGAATTACAAAGCTGAAGAGGTACAAAGAAGGAAAAAAAAAGTAATGGTTTCATTATTTTTTTAAAGAAACCATAACAAAAATATTTCAGAATTGAGAAACTGTTAACATACTAGACTAAATACACTTTAAGACAACAGGATCTAGTAAGAAACTACATTTTCATATCCATACATTATTTACATATACCACATTCCTACTGTATTTCTTTTGCCAAAAACTCTCCTTTAAATCCAGTAATATGAATTATTTGAGAAAGGAACTTGGTAAATGTGATTTTAAAAAGACTATGACCATTTTTCTACACAGACAATTAACTGATAGTCTGTGAAGCAAGATCATTCCTATTAATCAAACAGAAGCTTAAATCAAGAACATAAAGATGACAGCCATTAAAATAAAATTTGATTCTTTCTTGATTTTTCTTCCGAAAAATAGGCTAGATCTTTTTAAAGGAAGTTCAAAAGTCCTGAAACCTCTTAAAAAAATAAAGCCCTTCCTTCAGGCAAAAAGTCAGGTGAAACATAGAGATAATTAAGCTATGAAAGCAGTAAACAAATTGCTACTAGGCAGGCTCTTCATGTCTTAACATTTGGTATTTATTAATTTATTTTTATTTCATTTTTTTAGGCAATTGGGGTTAAGTGACTTGCCCAGAGTCACACAGCTAGTAAGTGTTAAGTGTTTAATCTAAGGCCGGATTTGAACTCAGGTCCTCCGGACTTCAGGGCTGGTGCTCTATCCACTGTGCCACCTAGCTGCCCCTTAACTTATTTTTCTGAAGAATAATTGGGAGTCACTTCTAAGCAGTTTCCCAAAATGGAACACTTAACTGCTTAATTTATTGTTATTGCTTAATATACTGTTTAGCTCATTCTTACCTGGACCACCAAGAACTTCACTGTTGTTATTTTCCATTTCAATTTCTTTCAGTACTTCAGTTAGGGCTTCCCATTTAGGATTGCTTTCTAGAACCAGTTCTTTTTTCATTTCTGCAAAATAATAAATGATAAACTTCAATTGATGTAGAAACTTCCATTCTTAAGATAGTAAATGTCATAATTCATCAAATTTATTATTATTATTAAATAGATAATTAAATATCTACTATATAGAGGGCACTGTGCCAAGTACGGGAGAAGATACAAAACATAGATCAAACATGATCCCTGTTTTCATGGAGCTTAAGGTCTAGTGTGGAAAAAGACAAACCCAGATAATTATAATATGTAATATTTCATGATAAGTGCATTAGAAAGGTGTAAAACAAAGTGTTATATGACGCCTGAGGGGGAAGGTCACTTAAGTGATAGGAAGTCTTCATGAAAAAGATGGTACTTGATTTGAGCTTTAAAGATGGGTAGGAATTCAAGAGATGAAACTGGGAAAGGCATTCAAGGTTCAGCATTGGCAGGGAGGTGAAAAAGCACTAGTCTGCTCAAAGAGAAAAGTAATGTTCATTAATACTAGGTAAAGGAGCAATAGAGAACCACTGAAAATTTCTGAGTAAGGGAGTAACATGACAGATCTTCGTAGGAAGAAGATTAGTCAGATGGGCAGAACGGAAGGAAAAGAGAATGAAGGGAGAAAGACATCAGAGAAGGGAGACAGGGGATCATAATTCTGCCCATCTACCACTTCTGCCCACAGAATCCTGTGAAGGAGAGGGGCCATACCTAAGCCCTTTCCAGTACCCTCTGCCTGCTGGAAGGTGGGGGAGGTAAGGCCTTGGAACCTGGCCTTTGCCTGGTTACCAAAACTCTTTGAGACTGCAAGCAACTTGATCCATCTGCTATTCACTACTAACAAGCTCCCACCACCAATTTTTTTCACTATCCCTGTATTAATCACTGATCAACTAGGAGGAAAACTGTCTCCACTGCCAACCCCGTCACCTCCTGTACTCTTACTTCTATTTTTATCAACCTTACTCCACTCATATCCCGTTCAAACCTTCTCAGCCCTTCCAGTGTGCCCTCTCAAATGTCCATTTTCCATAGCAAACAAACTTCCCTTCATCCTGGAACTCTTTCTCTCATGTTTCATTCATCTACTTGCCTTCACTGAGATCTGGCTTCCCTTACCGCATATCCTCCAGCATTCGATGTACCTTCACTCTGACTCACTGGTCCTGGAGGGAGACTGGAATATTCCAAGCCCCTGCATGCCACTTCCGGATACTCATCTGCTATTCTCTCTTAGCAATCTTATTTCCTTTGAAGCTCACAGTATCAAAATATTCTATACTCTTTGAATCCTCTTTGAATCCTGGTGGCTGTTGTATACTGGCCTCCAGTTCATGTTCCCTCCTTTTTCAAGGAGTTTAGCACCTAACTTATTGTCTTTTTTCTCCTCCCCAACTCCTGCCCTTAGGGATTTCAACATCCATAATGATATTCCCTCAACCCCTCTAGCCTCCCAATTCCTCAACTGTCTTAAATATTATGACTTTTTCTACTTCATCTCAATTACCAGGAATGGACACAATCTGGATCTCACCATTACCCTCAAGTGTTCCACTGGTTTAGTCAAAACCTGTAACATTCTTTGTTTAATCTTTTATTATTCCATCCCCTCACATCCTAAACCCGTTCTTTGTCCCTATTACGACTTATAATCTTTCAACTCCTCAAAATTTTTCAGGCCATTTTCCTGCTATGTCTTCACTTTCATCCCTTCCCAATCTCAACCCTATAGTTAATGCAACTCTCCACTGTCATCAATTCTTGAATCCCTACTGCCACTCATCCCTTACCAAACTCTAGCCCCAAATTACTTTCACTATTTACCTCCTTTGCTCCTACTCAAGTGCTGCTGAATTGAACTGAAGGAAATCACACAACCATGCTGACTGGATACACTATAAATTCATGTTATCTAACTTCAATTGAGCTTTCCCTATAGCAAGGCAATTATTTTATCTTTTTCTAACTGATTCCCTACCTCATTCTCCACAGAAGCTATTCCAAATCTCTTCTTTCCTTGGGCCTCCTACACTTCTACCTTCCCCCATTCTTTCAGATGAGGACCTCACTTTGAAAAAATTGAGACCATCTGATGGGAGCTGTATCACCTATATCATAACCTCTAACTGTAGGTTTCACAAGGCTCTCTTTTCTTTTCTCTTCACACTCTTTTTCTTGTTGACCTCAGTTATAACAGATTTAATTATTATCTCTATGAAAATAATTCATGGATGTATATGTATATGTGCGTAAATGTTTATGTATGTGCACACACACATATTTAGCTCTATGTTCACTATTGAGCTTTGGTCCTGCATTACCAATTTCCCATTGGACATTTCACAATGGAAGTACTAAAGACATCTCAGACTCATTTGTCCAAACCAGAACTCACTATCTTTTCCTCAAAGTCAATGCTCTCCTAAACTTCCCCATTTGTATCAAAGGTACTTTCATTTTTCCAGTCTCTCAGGTTCATAAACATCCTCATTTTCCATTATCCCATACATCTAACTGGTTGCTGAATCTTACTATTTTTACCTTTACAAGATCTCTTCCATCTGATCCCTTTTCAGTATTGACACAGACACCACTTCCATTCAGGCACTCATCACCTATTACTAGGTTACTGCAGCAGCCTTCAAATTGGTCTCCCTGACTCAAGTCTCTTCCATTCCAATCTATTTTCCACACAACCACCAAAGTGATTTCCCTTAAACATAAACTTCACCATGTCATTACCCTACTCAATATTAATTCCAGTTGCTCCCTATTGCTTCTACAAAAAATATAAATTCCCCTGATTAGTTTTTTTTTTTTAAGGCAATTGGGGTTGAGTGACTTGCCCAGGGTCACACAGCTAGTAAGTATCAAGTGTTTGGTCTGAGGCCGGATTTAAACTCAGGTCCTCCTGACTTCAGGGCCGGTGCTCTATCCACTGAGCAACCTAGCTGCCTCCCTCACTGATTAGTTTTTAATGCCTTTCAAAAACTGACCTCAACCTATCTTTAGATTCATTGTACATTAGCCCTTCTTGTACGCTGTAAACTAGCCAAATCAGCCTTATCTCTGTCAGTCAATAAGCATTTATTAAGTGCACTGTACTAAGCACTAAGGACTATAGTCCTAAGCACTGGGATTATAAAGCAATCCAAAAGACAGTCCTTTCTCTCAAGGAGCTCACAATCTAATGGGGGAGACAACAAGAAAATAATTATGTACAAACTGCTACATATAGGTTAAATTGGAGGTAATAAATAGAAGAATTATTAAAAGGGATCCAGGACAGGCTTCTTGTAGAAGATGGGATTTTAGCTGGGTTTTGAAGGAAGACACAGATATCAAGAGTTAGAGATGAGGAGAGAGAGTATTCCTGGTATGAAAAATAGCCAGTGAAAATGCCTAAAGTCTAGAGATGGAATGTCTTATGTGAAAATCAGCAAGGAGGCCAGTGTCACTGGATCGCTGAAAATGGGTGGTGGAAGGAAGAGGGAGGAGTGAGAAGATTGGAAAGGTAGGAGGGGGAAAGTGGGTGAAGGCTTTGAATACTAAAAAGAGGATTTTATATTTGATCCTGGAGGTGACAGGGAGCTACTGAAATTTGTTGAATGGGGAATGGGAGGGTGACATTGTCAGATTTGCACTTTAGGAAGATCAATTTGACAGCTGAGTGGAAATTAGACTTGAGTAGGGAAAGAGTTGAGGCAGGCTACTGCAATAGTCCAAACATGAGGAGACAAGGCCTTGCATTGGGATGGTGGCAGCATCAGAGAGAGGGGGGTGTATTCAAGAGATCTTACAAAGATAAAACTGACAGCCTTGGCAACAAATTAAATATTGGGTGTGAGAAAGAATGAGTTGTCGAGGATGACATCTAGGCTTTCAGCCTGGTTGACTGACAGGATGGTGGTGAACTTGAGAGTAATGAGGAAGTTCAGAAAGGGAGAGGTTTGTAACCAACAAATGATCAGCACAATGATGAACACATTTATGTTTTAATCTATGCTATGATTTCTTGATTAACTGGTTAGAAGGCTACTGCAATGGTTCAGGAATATAATAGTGAAGGCCTGTACCACTGGGCTGTCACTGGAAACACACAGGAGAGGATGGATGTGATATGTTAAGGAGAAAGAATTGATAGGAATGTGATAACTGATTGGCTAAGAGATGAAGGAAAAAGTCAAAGAAACACCAATGTTTTGAACAAAAGAGACTTGAATACTGGTAAGCAGAAATAGTGAAATCATAGAGAGAAACAGGTTTGGGGAAAAGAAAATATTTAAAATAACACACATAGCATAAATATCATTCCACAACCCCATTATTTGTGGGTTCAACTATATGCTTTTTTATAATGCTACTTAAAGGTACAATGATGACAGAATAAAATGTATTTTGGATAAATATTTATAGAAGCTTTATGACTCAAAGTGATAAAGATTTAATTAAGTGCATTATACATAACTTGCATTTAATAATCAGGAGTTGGAGGCTATTACGCTATAAGGCATCACACCTGCTTACAAGGTACATAGTTCTATCTATCTAGAAAACATGAATTCTTTAATTACTATTTTTATCATACTGAAGATATAGGATAAAGGAATAGACTTTGTGGGCCTTTTAGAGGATTGAGTTTTGCTCCTCTCACATACATTTGTCATGTACTATTTTATAATTTTTTGTATATGTGTTTCATCTTCATAGCAGATTCTAAGCTCCATCAAGAGACGGACTATGTTTTATATAAACTTGGCTAGCAATGTGCTTTGCATAGATTAGGAGCTTAATTAATGATTGCTGCATGCAACTAATAGCATGTGGGTGATAAAGTGAAATGGCTAGGTGGCACAGTGGATAGAGTGCTGAACTTGGAGTCAGGAATATCTGGGTTCAAACCCTGCCTCAGGAGACTACTATATATCTGACCCTGGACAAGTCATTCAACCCTTCTCAGCCTCAGTTTCCTTACCTATAAGATGAGGGAGTTAGACTGAATGGCCTCTATGATCCTTTACTTGTAAGCTTTAAATACATAATCCTGTAACCTTTCCTTGTATTTTTAAAGTTTTTTTGATGATTTTGCTTTTTACAATCATTTCCTGATATGCCCCCTTATTGAACCCTTCCTTACAACAAAGAAAAACAGTTGGCAAAATTAATGGACAAAACTACTAAAACTGTCAATGTATTATTATGTAATACTCTTTCTTTTTTTTCTTCTTTTTTAAGTACTTAAGGAACACCGTGGTTCTATGAATTAGGCAGGGGGAAGTATTATACTTATTTCATATCCTGGAAAACTGGTGACTAATCTGAGATGTCTGAAAATAAGTTGCAGAAATAAAATATCTCTTTAGTTCCCCTAAAATACTCATGCTCTGAGACTCTTAAGAAGTTAAAAAGAATTTTAAAGACTGTGACATACAAGCTTCACATATGGCAGCCATGACAAAAGTGCTAAAAACCATGAGGCCCTGGATGAACCACAAATTGTTTAGATCAAGTACAGCACTGCTATGTTCTCTACCTCACATATCTTTGTGAGGGAAGTACTTTGGAAACCCTGAAGTAATAAAACAGACATCAAGAGAGTCTAGTGGATAAAGTACTGGCCTGGGAGTCAGGATTTGAGTTGGAATCCTGCCTCAGACATTTGCTAGTTATGTGACCCTGGGTAAGTCACCTGACCTTTCTCAGGTTAATCTGGAAAATGGAGATAATAATAGCATCTATCTCACAGACGTGTTCTGAGGATCAAATGAAATTAAATAAATATATGCAGTGTTCTACAAACTTAAAACCACTATTGTCATTATTATTACTATTGTTAACATGGATGAAATGCATCTTAAATAAGATATTTGAGAAAAAATATTCATATTAATGATTTAAATTGTTTTCAGCAAACAACACATATAAATAAAACTCAATTTGGATTTCAATAGAGGAGTCACTTTTTTTTAAGAAGTCACTTTTAGAAGCATATACAATACCTTGGCCTTCTTTTATGTCTATTTTTTCAGTCATTTTGCACTTTTTATTCATTCTGGTATCTGGAACGTGATAAACTCTTGCTCGAGCATTTACAAACATTGAAGTACTAGAGTCGAGAAACAGCCACCCTAAAAGGAGAAGACAGACTTACATTTAGGTTTATATCATACACTTACAAGACATTTACAAAGTCTTCGATGATTTCCCCACCATAATCTGCTTTAGTTTTAAGATATACAATTAACCCCGAATTTTGAATACATAGTTGCCATTCTACTCTCTTTGATGCTGAAGTCATCATTGCCATCAGTCTTCAATACTTAATCAGCCCTTTCTGCTCCAGGCCCTATCATGGTTTTGCTGGTTCTGGTTCTTTCTATGCTCAGAACCTCAGTGCAAGAGCCTCTGCTCCTCTGAACCAAAGTACCACTGCAACAGGCTCACGAACCCTACCTTACAGCATGTGGTACTACAGCCTCTGCCTCTTCTTTCCTTTAGTCTTTGCCTCCTAGTTAGTGGATGTACCAAAGCAGAAGCCAGAGAAAGGATAGACCTATTCCTGGTGTCCTAGGTTTGAATCTGTAATGTTTTCTCATCAAAAAAAATAATGCTAGAAATGATGTTTAGGAACAAGTGAAATACCATATATTTATGTATATATACGTATCTTAACTACATACATATGCCTATATTTACGTGCACACATCTTAACTACATATTACAAACACACCCACATCCTAACTACAAAGCAATATAAAAATATTGCCATAAAAGTATTATTAGGTTCTACAACATTATTAACTTTATAGCAAGGCTACCTTATCAGTTATATAGACTGCTGGTGGTTGGTATGAGAACTGAACTATCATTTTACAAATATTATTCCTATTCAAAAATTCACTGTATCAAAAAACAAAAAGAATACTTATAAAAGAAGAATTTTGGGAACAAAACCATTTTATAAGTTGGGGACTGCTTGTACTATATTCACATAGTCTTTTCTGGGAATAAAATGTTAGCTTCTAATGTGAATATTTAGTATTGCACAGAACAGAAGTTAAGTAGGAGGAAACATCAGCCACCAGCAAAACCTCCATCCTTATGCTGTGAATCTAATTTGAAGTTTTAGGACAGTATGTGGGTTCGGTATAACATTCCCCCTTCATTCCCGGAATAGGCAAAGCTCAACCTTTACGTTCTATTCTCAAAACAATTTAAATAGTAATATTCATAATTTTCATTTCCCACCTGAATTCTGGCCAAAGGCTTTCTCAGTTGCCCTCAAAGATTCCAGAAGATTAAGAAATGTGACACAGTCATACTGAGAGAGATACTGTAGCAAAGTCCGTAGTATCTTCAAATCCTGTACCAAAGATTTAGTCTTTGCTCCAAGCTGATGCCACAGAGGATCTAAATAGTGACGAATTGTCTAAAAATAAAAATGAAAATTTGCATTGTTGCTACAGTATGTTCAACATAGCTTTTAGCACAAATACATGTTAGTTCATATGCTTCTATGAAAACATTTTTTTTAGTTTCAAAAGTAATACATGGCATCAGTGACCCTGGTTATTTATCTCACGGTCACAATTAGTGATTCTATAGAGAGTAAACTCTTAAACATGCATACTGAAGGAGGGTAAGAGAGGTATTAAATAATCTAAAAATCATTATTTAGATTAGAAGATAGTAAAAGGAAAAGTTAGTCAAGACATATACATTTATGATACTTATACACTGACAACCCTAGCATGGACTTTCCTGGGATGGCCATCCTACTGAAGATCTGGAACCTGGCTAGGCAATGAAAAATAGAAAAATGCAGACAGGCCCAAAGGTAGATAATTCATTTGAGCATAATAGTGATCGTGGTATTTTTGTATGCATAGTTAAAATTATATTTTTATATTTCATTTATATAAAATATATTACACATTACATATACATTTTACATAAAATTAGTTTTTAAAAATGTAATATATGTGACTTGTACTGGAAAGGGTTAACTTAAAAACAAGCAATTTGGAAAAGTAAAATTCTACAAACTCTAAAGAGCTCCAAAAGGAGCTTTCAAAATGATTTCCTTTGGGAAGAATCACAGATCATAGATTCAGAGCTGGAAGTAACCCTAGAGGAGATATAATAAAACTCCCTGATTTTATAGATGTGAATACTGAGGGCAGGGCCACGGACTCCAGGGCCTCTATTTAAAGAGACGGCTCAGCAGTTTGCTCCCCCCTGCCCCCATTGCCCACCAGTTATATTGCTTTATGATTTCTTTGGAACTCTCTATCAGGTCTCAATGTCAAGTACCTTCTCTTTTACCCCCTCTTCCCCCACCCTGCTTTTAGATTGTAAGTTTCCGGAAGGCACGGACTGCCTTGATTTTTATTTGTATTTGTATCTCTTGTGCTTAGCCCAGTGCCTAGCACATAGTAAGTGCTTAATGTTTATTAACTGATTGAGGGTCTGAATACTGAGGGCCAGGTTTAAATGACTTGACCAAGGTAATACAGGCAGTAAGTGGCAAAGCTAGTAGTCAAACATAGATCCTCTAACTATAAATCTAGTGCTTTTTCTACCATATGACCCTATAAAATAAAGCATAGCTCTCTTTTCCCTGGTGACTTTAAAGTGATGGAGAAGAAATACTACAGGTCTCTAGGTGGAATAGAGGTGGTAGCAATGGCATCAGCCTTTTCTCCTCAGCTGACCTCCACGTGGCTATGAACATACGGCATCTCTGGTAGTTCGTATAGAAGTATTGGATCTCGTCAACTTTGAAAGGTTCAAAGAGCCATCCGTGGTCCCCTTAACAATGGGAATTAGTAGCATCAGTAGCTGAGTCTAGTGAGGAACCAGCCCTGAGCACTAGCCTACTTGATCCACTCCAGCAGTAAACTGACCTGGTAGCTGAGACACAACATCTTGTAACCAAGAGAATATGACCTTGGCTTTGCCACACACAGAAATAAACTTGGTGGGGAAGAATGTTTTTCAGCAGTTCCTTTAAGTTTGATTTCATTCTCTGTAAGGAGAGTATTCTCTTGGTTTAGTCAATAACAGTAAGAACTTAATATGTGCCAAGCATTGTGGAGTGGCTGAACAAACTGTGACTTATGAATATAGTGTAATTTTGTGCTGTTAAGAAACAATAAATATGAAGAAACATGAGAAGATAAGCATGAAATGATACAGTGAAAAAAGCAGAACCAGGAGAACATACTGATTTAATGTAAAATTTTTCTAATTGCTAAGAGATGGGTAAACTCAGATGAAATGCTATGACCAATCTTGGTTCCAGAGAAAAGACGATGAAACACATTTCTCTCCTCTTGGTGGAGAAACAAGGGAACAGGGATATAGATTGACACATACGCTGTCAGAACTAGCTACTCTGTTGGTTTTAATTAATTTTTTCTTTGTTAAATGGGAAAGTTTAAGAAGTCATACTGGGAAACAAACAACTTTGATACTAAAAAAAGAGGCAGCAATAAAATTTAACAGAAAAAAGCTTTAGTTCAACAAACATTTTTTCAACAGCATTTCTTTCTTTTTAAAAATGTTTTATTGATGCCTTTTGTTGGCTAGTCAGTCAACAAGCATTTGCTACGTGTCAGGCACTGTGCTAAGTGCTGGGGATACAAAGAAAGGCAAAAATAGTCTTGTTGCCAAGGAGCTCATATTTTAATGGGGGTGGTGGTGGTGGTGGAGAAAATATATAAATAACTAGGTATATTCAAGATACATATTTAATAGATAGAATGTAACATCAGAGAAGGCTTTAGCAGCTGAGGGAGACTGGGAATGGCCTCTTACAGGTGAGATTTGAGCTGAGCCACACAAGAAGCCAAGGAAACAAACAAATAGAGTTAAGGAGGAAGAGCATTCTAGGAATGGAGATAACCTTAATTCTGAGCCTCCATAACTAGAAAAATAGTGGTGTCCCTGACAATAGGGAAAGGGGCTTTAGGGAGAAAGGTAGTAAGTTTTGCTTTGGACTTGTTGAGTTTGAGATATCTATAGGATATTTAGTTAGAGATGTGCAAAAAGCAATTAATGATGCAGGACTAGAGCTCAAGAAAGAGACTAGGGCTAGATATATAGTTCTGCCTATATATCATATGCATAAATAACTGATAATATGATAGATGAACCCATAGGAGCTGATCACCAACTGAGCTAGTACAAAGGAGACTAAGGACAGAACGTTGGAGGGATACCCACAGTTAATAAGCATGTCATAGATGAATATAAAGTAAAGAAGACTGAGAGAGAGCAATCAGATAGGTAAGAGGCGAACCAAAAGAGAAGAGTGTGCTATAAAAGCAGATAGGATAGAGTGGGTGGTGATCACTAGCATCAAAGGCTGAAAAGAGATAAAAAAGGATGGGGATTGAGAAAAGGCTATTAATTAGACTTGGCAATTTTTGGACAGAGAAGTTTCAATTAAAGGATGAGGTCAGAAGCCAGGTTACAGAGGGTTCAGAATAGAGTGAGATGGCAAGAAGTGAAGGCATTCACCATAGAAGGCTTTCTCAAGGAATTTTGGGATGGTTGGGTTAAGTGAGGATTTTTAAAGATGAGGGAGACATGGATTTATTTGTAGGCAGCAAAGGATGGGGACCAGTACATAATAAGAGAGAGGGAGAGAATATTAGAGAGTGGAGACGATTGTGAAGGCAATTTGCTGGAGAAGATGGGATAAATGGGGCATGTAGAGGACAAGGCAAAAGGCTACCTCTTCAGGCATTTCCTATTTTACCACCAAACTGAATCCTCTCTTTTAACAAAGAAAAACAATTACACAAAACATCCAATACAAACATTGTGTTTGACAACATATATACAATAATCTATCCTGGTTAATCCCCCACCTCTCTGCCATCAGGATAAAGTATATTTAATTATCTTTTCTTTAGTACCTTCACTTGTTTTTCAATTAGTCAAATGAAATTCACTTCCAGTGATTTTTTTCATTTACATTGTTGTAGTCATTCTGTACTTTCTTTTGGTTCTGATTATATTGCTTTGTATCAATTCATAGAAATCTTCCCATGTTTCCCTGAATTTCTCATTTCTTTGTGTACAACAGTATTTGATTAACATAGGTTTTTTCAGACATTCCCCAACTGATAGTCAACCAACCAATTTGTTTCCAGTTCTCTGTTAACAGAAAACGTGCTGCTACGAATTTGTGGTATATAGTGGACCAATGTTTCTCTTTTTGACCTTGAAGAACATGCCCAATGGTGGGATTTTTAGGTCAGAGTTTACTTTTCTTCCATAATTCTAAACTGAAACCCAGAATTAATGTACTATTTCCCGGTGCCACCAACAGTGTAGTGTAGTATGCCTGGTTCCCCACAGCCTCTCCAACACTGAATGTTTCCATCTTTTTTCACTTTTGTTAATTTGCATGGAATAAGGTTAAACCATAGGTTCCCAGATTGGACAATACCACCCCTGGGGAGGTGCTAGAACAATGGGGGGGTTTGGCACAGTAGTAGTCTTGGGTACAATTGGGGCAATTGGGCAGTAAATAAAAATAAGGGGGCAGTGGAAGCATAAAGAAGATAAGAAAAATTTCAAAAACTGTTTGTACATATTTCATCTGTTGCGTAACAGAGTTAAAGCCATAGGGATTATATTATTTTTCAAATAAACACACAAAATGCAAGCTATAACTGATCAGTGGTCAAGTCTGCCAATAGGTCTTAACAAGCAGGTGTTGGCAGGCAAGCATGTCACACATTGTCTGGAAGTCCAACATGGATTGGCAGGAGTATGTGTGAGTGTAACGACTTGTTTACAATACTATACTATAGTTACATGATGTAAAATTGTGTCATCAAAATTTCAATGCAAGAAAAGCCCACAAATTTACAATAAATTATTAAATTTAAGACGTGTCATTTTAAAAAATATATTTTATATTTTTTGAAATGATGCAAATTTCAGAAAAACTGTTAAAGGATTCAAGAAAGTAGATTGGGGGGGGCACTGAGTAATTTTTTTTTTCTTTTTTGAAAAGGGGATGGTAGGCCAAATAAGTTTGGGAACCTCTGGTCCAAACCTAATTGATGACAAACCACTTTCCAGTTTTTCCAGTAGTTTTTGTCAAATGGGGATCTGTTCCCCAGATTTATTTCTGTAATTTATGTTCCTGGGTTTATCAAATGTTGGACTACTGTTTCCAATTGCTTCTTTTTTCTACTTACCTAATTTGTTCCACTGATCTATTAAAAAATAACACTAATATATAGTGTGAAGACTGGCCTAGGTTCCCTTCAGTACTTTTCTCATTATTTCCCTTGACATTCCAGAACTTTGGTTATTTTAAATGAATTTTATTAATCAGTTTAGATCAAAAAGGTATCTTCTTGGTAATTTGATTGTTTCAACACTAAATATACAAATCAATTTAGG